AGAGGAAGATGAATATACTTATGTACATAAAATTTCAGTGCTAGCCAGTAAAGCCATGTACTTGCCCATGTGAACTGAACTCCACCTAAAAAGTCAGTTGTGGAAAATGGACCACTGACATGACAAATACTTTTCTGTTTCAGAGTAGCTCCAAGAATGATTTAGAGGTAGCAGTTTTTGCCAATTTTCTTATTCAGCAGACAATCAAAAGGATGTAAAGTTAATAAAAGCAGGGGAATCTAGAAATTGTCTCTGAATTTCTCAGCCCTGGCCTGTGTATATTGCAGTAGCATTTCTGCAGAAATCCTCCCAGCCAGTCAGACAGTACTCTGAAAACAACCTTGTACCAAGATAATATCTGTGAGGATCAGACTAGATGGGGATAAAGAAAAAATATACATTTTGCATTCATAAACATAGTGGGAGCATTAAAGCTGTAGCTCCTTATAGCAATATTCATAACTACAGGCAAATGTTTGCTCTAAATTAATCTTCAATGTATTACATTTAGGTAAATTTTCCTTGGGTTGTCATAAGCCATTGCATTACTTTTGATACAGTGGTCTGCTAGAGTAAATTCCACAACAGAAAGTAGAGGCAATTACAGTCTCTACCTTTTTGCTAAAAATATATGGTTAAATTCTTTCATCTGAAATACAAGGCCTACTACTGCTAACAAACACAAACTTCTCCACTTGCTCCCCATTCCTGCCCTGAACTTCACTACTCGCATAGTCATGCTACCGTTCTGAGGATCTGATGGATCATCAGGATTATCATGGATGGCAGATGCTACCTCACTTCCTTCTTCTTTATTAGGACTTGTCCCCACTCCCTTTCATTAAGGATCATTATTTTGGGTTAACTCCTTTCCTCATGTTTCTATATTTCACTGTTCCTTTTTTCCAAAACGTAATGAAATATTTAGCCATCCAAATAGCCCCATCACTCCTGGTCCTGGCTCCTGAATCTTCTTTTTTCCGTTTCCTCTTGTGTTGCTTCCATTCATCTTTTCCACAGCTCTGCTACACAGCATCACTTTCTTGGTGAAATACGTCACTTACCTGTTTAAATGTTTTTCAAGATCTGCACTTGCTCTTAAACTTCTGGTCTTTATGTCCACATCAGCCTAAACCTCAGAAGTGAATCTGTGTACTATATGGATTCTTCTGTCACCCACTCATCTTTTATGTTCCTCCCCCTATTATATACAGGTCTGTATCCTCATCTTATTCAAACATTTTGAATGACATTTTTTTCATATGAAAGCCACACTATTAACTTGTCCCCCCCATCCAATATTCAGGTTACTTAACAAGCACAGCTGAGTTGCCTTTGGTATGAGGCAACTATGCTAAATTATACCAGCAGAAAAACTGGCCAAAATATGAGGCAATTTCTTCATTTAGGGTTTCTTACTGTGCTTTGATTTATCTGTGTCTCATGTCCTGGAGTTTCAGCTGTAAAGGGCAAGAATTGTCTTTACTACTATATTGAATGCCACTGCTATGTTCTCAGTTCTTTCAAGCCAGTAAATAATGAGATACTCATGAAATTCTTAGTGGGTGTTGTATTTTAATACCTTATCTGATTTTAGTGGGAGATTTACCTGACTAAGACCTTCTGGGATGCCTCCACACTGCAGAATAATTTCTTGTTCCCCCTACCAGGTAACAAATGCCAGCTTAATACATCAATCTATCATCACATAGTTTTGTATTATCCATAGCCAAAAGCCCTTAATAATAAATTCTAATCTCTTTAGGATGATAAAGTAGAAAACTAATATGAAGCTATTACAAATAAAACTGAATTCCCTAAAAAGCAAGACCTCTTTATACCTTAACACAATGCTCTTTCCAGCTGTCAGCCTAGAAACTCAGTACAACTCGGTATCACATACTTTATTCTGTTCTTAACAAACCTGTTAATAAAATGAGCCCTAGAGCTGCAGAAGTGAGGATTGCAGAGTGGGTAAACATTATGTCTAGTTCTGCATGGAAATGAAGCTGCACTATTATGGCCAAGGGCATACGGCCTTGAATTGAAGTTGTTTTGTGAAGAAGTAGTTGAGCATGTGTGCTGATTTTGGCTGGGATAGAGTTAATTTCCTTCATAGTAGCTAGTATGGGGCTATGTTTTGGACTTGTGCTGAAAGCAGTGTTGATAATTCAGGGATGTTTTTGTTATTGCTGAGCAGTGCTTACACAGAGTCAAGGCTTTTTCTGCTTCTCACACCACCCTGCCAGCAAGTAGACTGTGGGTGCACAAGAAGTTGGGAGGGGACACAGATGGGACAGCTGACCCCAGCTGACCAAAGGGATATCATAGAATCATAGAATGCTTTGGGTTAGAAGCAACCTGAAAGATCATCAAGTTCAACCCCACTTGCCATGGGCAGGGACACCTTCCACTAGCCCAGGTTGCTCACAGCCCCGTCCAACCTGGCCTTGAACACTGCCAGAGAGGGGGCAGCCACAGCTTCTCTGGGCAACCTGTGCCAGTGTCTCACCACCCTCACAGTAAAAGATTTCTTCCTTATAGCTAATTTAAGTCTAACCTCTTCCAGTTTAAATCTGTTACCTCTTATCCTCTCACCACGCCCCCTGATAAAGAGTCCCTCCCCAGCTTTCCTGTAGCCCCCTTTAGTGGAAGGTGTCCACAGAACCTTCTCTTCTCTAGGCTGAACAACCCCAACTCTCTCAGCCTAACCTTATCAGGGAGGCGCTTCAGCCCCCTGATCATCTTCTGGGCCCTCCTCTGGACCCACCCCAACAGGTCCATGTCCTTCTTGTGTTGGGGGCCCCAGAGCTGGACACAGCACTGCAGGTGGGGTCTCATAAGAGCAGAGCAGAGTAGAAGAGGACAATCCCCTCCCTCAACCTGCTGGCCACACTTCTCTTGATGCAGCCCAGTATAATGGTTGGCTTTCTGGACTGTGAGTGCACATTGGTGGCTCACAGTCAGTTTTCCATACACTACTACTTCAAAGTCCTTCTCTGCAGAGCGGCTCTCAATCCACTCATCACCCAGCCTGTATTTGTTCTTGGGATTGCGCCAAACCACGTGCAGGACCTTGTACTTGTTGAATTCCATGAGGTTTGCACAGCCCCACGTCTCCAGCCTGTCCAAGTCCCTCTGGATGGCACATCCCTTCCCTCCAGCGTGTCAACAGCACCACACAGCTTGGTGTCCTCAGCAAACTTGCTGAGGGTGCACTCAATCCCACTGTCCATGTCACCAGCAAAGATGTTAAACAGCACTGGCCCCAACACCGACCCCTGAGGAACGCCACTGGTCACCCCCCTCCACTTGGGCATGGAGCCGTTGACTGCAACTCTGAGTGCGACCATCCAGCCAATTCCTTATCCACTGAGTGGTTCATCCATCAAATCCATGTCTCTCCAATTTAGAGACAAGGATGTTGTATGGGACAGTGCCAAATGCTATGCACAAATATCGTATATTCCACACCATATGACTTCATGATCAACATGTAAAACTGGGGGAAGAAGGAAGAGAAGGGACATTCAGAGTGATGGCATTTGTCTTCCCAAGTAACCGTTACACATGACAGAGCCCTTCTTTCCTGGAGACGGCCGAACACCTGCCTGCCAGTGGGAAGCAGTGAATTAATTCCTTGTCTTGCTTTGCTTGCGTGCATTGCATTTGCTTTACTTTTTAAATTGTCTTTATCTCAACCCACGAGTTTTCCCACTTTTACTGTTCTGATTCTCTCCTCCATCCCACTGGGAGGGATTGAGCAGCTCTGTGGTGCTTAGTTGCCAGCTGGGGTTAAACCGCAAGAGTCATACAGTTTCAAGTGCAACCCTTGTTTTTGCTAACAGGTGAGAGTTTAATTCAGTTGATTGAGCAAAAATGGAGGCACTGAAGCAAAACACAACTCTTTGTTTCCAGTTCTGCAGTAACCATTTCCAGGTATGCAGAAGAGGAAGATTTAATACACCCTGTTAAGGAATCAGGGAGTTAGCTGTCTGAAGGAGAGGCACATCCCTTCCCTGTACAGTGAACGTCTGTGTGATATGCCAGTGGATTTTTCATTTATCTGATATGACTTCAGGGATGTAGCAATACTGAGCAACACCCCACAGGCCACACTATGAAGCGCACCAGACATGATGTTCACAATGACCCACAGTCTTTCTTTGTCCTAATTCTTTTTTTTCATTTCTAGGAGCACCTGGTCTGTCTTACTGTCATGACCCAGTGGTACCTTGGGTACACCCAAAAATCTACTACAAATATTCCATCACAACTTATCATGATGCAGTGCGATATGAATTGTGGGTTGTCTTGATAGTAGAGAATACTGCCCATTTCTGGCAGAAGAGTCTAGCTGAGGGCTACATGAAAAATGGATAGGGCTAGATAAAAACCAAAGAGCTATTTGTCAAATGTAAATGGAGTGATCCACACTGCAGAATATGGCACATGTCTGATACTTCCCTTAATATACAGGAGGAGGAGTGTCTGCCAAAAGCCAAGGAAAGCACATGCCACCAACTTTCTTTCCCAGATCTCTGCATCCCTTGTACTAATTCAAATTTTCTCTTTTATCCTGAGTAAGTGTTGAGCTTTGCTAACACCAGAATTACATTTAATTACATTTTGTGATAATTGGTCTGCTGGTAGTTTGAAGGTTAATTAGTTTTTTATTACCTGTGATTACAAACAGGCACTCTTAAATGTTGCTTTAGTGCCAATCTGCTGCTCTAGTCAAGAATAATTTAGATACATTCTCTTGTAATTGAAAGTAACTGCTGATAAACAGGTTATCTAGCTGATGGATGGATCCAATACGTGTTCTCACCTGGTAGATGGTACCAACAAAGAAAGGTCCATGCACTGCTCACAGTGGCAGGGCTTTTTAGTTCAGTTCATTACCATTTGTTGTTAAACAATTACATACAGCCAGCACATACAGTCTTCACTGACCTGTAAGAGGAGTGTTCATTATTTTGCATAGCATACTGCTCCCTTTAATCCCCGAGCTCTTGGCAGAAGTAGCAGTCTTGTTTCTGATCCTCTCCCGATTCAATCTGAATAGTGATGGAATGGAAGCTGTAGTGCTCAAACAGGGCTTGGGTAATATCTCTCAAAATCTTCTGGCTGTCCACTGTGTCTGCTATAGATAGCAAGCAGAAAACAATCAAAATGCATATAATACTTTAAAGAAGAGTGTTTACTGACCGAAACTATTCACAAATTTCTAACAAGAAGTTATTTTAAGAACTGTTTCTTGTCCTTTTTATCCTCTTTCAAGAACCTTCATGTCAGCAAAAGTTTGTTCATTCAGACGCGGTTGGAATATGCAATTTTGGCAAGAGCTGATCTAAGAGTAATCACCAAAGAAATTCAGTTTGGCAGAAGACTGGAGGAAAGAAGGAATACTTAATAAAGATTAGTTCATTCAGTCAGGGAGTAGCAACAGTGCCAAGTGTTTCAGGTGGCTGATAGACTCACTCTTTTTGGGAAGCAGGGGCTCCATGGAGGGCCGTGCCTCTGAACCTGCTCTTAGCTAAACACAGGTGGACTTTTTTTCTTAAATAAACCTTAACTTGTGCAAAGCAAACAGATAAACAAGAAAATTGTTCAGGAGGGTGGACAATTTGTCAATTGGCTTAAGTACTATAATTTTAAAAAATATTTTTAAATATGAACTGTTCCCCTGGAGTTACCTCTATGCTCCAAGATGTTTTAAAGATTTTTGTATGGGTATAGATGGATCAGGAATGCAGGCTTGCCCTGTAAGTTTTTCTTATAGGGATCAACATTTTTCAAGTTTGACAAATTCACCTAAAAATCTATTTGATATTGTGAGAAAAATCCAGTCTGGGTCTAATTTTCCTTATTTATTTAAAATATTTTGTAGTGTACTTCCTTGGCCCATAACCTCTTCAGTTTTCAAGTTTTGGGCTAAGTAAAGGTCTCTGTTGTTTTGGCAAGATTTCTGTGAGGAAGATTTGAGAGCTTTGTTGTTGCTGTTGTTATTTTTCCAACAAAATGATGACATTTGTTTTAATAAGTAACACATATACAGTCAGTTGTATCCCAATCAGGAGAGCCTGACCTTTACTAGGCAGCAGCTGAATACTCCCCATTTACAGAAATTTACTGACCTGTGGCAACATGAGCAGACAGAATAGTTTGATTTGTTGTCAGAGACCAGAGATGAAGGTTGTGAACAGATGCCACTTTCTCAACTGCTAAAATTCTTGCTTTCACTGCATCGTAAGCAAATTCCTTTGATGTTCCTTAAAGGGAGAAATTTGTGGGAAAAAACAACATATTTTGAAGATATAAGAATTATGATCATTAGAGGAAAATGCATTATGACCCTTTATTCAGTTAGATGTATAATTTTATTAAAATATTTAATGCTTTGGAAAGCCTTTCACAGAATTCACTGTGAAATTTAATTCTATCCCTTCTTTTATACTTTTCCATGGAAGAATGAGACTCATGCATGTCTTAGGACATACTCTGATGGTCCATTTTACATAGGGAAGTGGGCTGTTTAGTTTTACACCCACATCTTTTGTGAGTGCAGATTTTATGGCATCACCTGAGCACCTCTGAGGGATTCTGGCCTCAATACATTTACACAATAGAGAAGCATCTGTTTAGCAGGGAAGGAAAGACAAACATAAAGAATAAAATTGACTTGGGAATCTCAGATGATATTAGATCCCAGGTCTAGTTATTGAGTAGATCGGTGATTGTTTTCTTAGATGAGCTTTTTTACAAAAGATGATGATGGTGATGACCCTCATTCAGAGGGTGATAGAGTGAGCTGCAACATGAAATTCAGAGTCTAATCTAAATCCAGATTTGACCAAGGATTTAACTACAGATCTTCCCTGGAGGGGAATGCACCTCTATGCCCATGTGAACAGCTCTGCTCATCATGCTTCACGTGAATCAGTAAACTGAAAAATATTTTCAATGCCATCAGTTATGAAGTATAATAGCGATAAGCACAGTATTGGCTAATTTGTCTTTCATACTGTAACTGATAACAGTCAGTCACAGGGGCTGTGGGGCTGACACCCTTGGGCACACTGGATGCATGGGGTAATAGCCACCTCCAGTACTAACTCCAACATCAATTTCTCTTTGGAAAATTCTGGGCAGAATATGCTACTTATAAGACAGGAGATCAGAGACCTCTCCAGGAGGACAGTGTAAAAGGGCTTGCTGCAGTGGGGAACAGAGCACTGCCAACTTTGGTGTGTCAGCACAGCTTACAGAAGGTAGGGATCACTGCTCTGAGAAAGAGACCCCTGAGTGTCAGGGGCTGCCAAGCCTTCCTGGTAGTTAGATTTTTTTTCAGTAATCAAGAGATCTTCTGATTTCTTGGCAGCCATGATACAGCCAGTTGCTGCGCTCTGTCTAGGTACACTTGTATCTCTATCTCATAATCACTGAAAGCAAACCAACCCTAGAATGAAACTTTACTGTAAAACAATACTGGAAATTTTCTTCCTTGAAACAGAAGTAGGTGCAGAGTGAAAGAGAGAAGTAAATAGCCATGCAGACAGTCATACTAAGTTACTCATATCCATTCAAAACCTACACTATTAGAACTATTTTTCCCTTTCATCCTTATGTCTTCATAGCTGAGAAAGAGGTTGCATTATATTATTGGTGGAAGGAAGGCAAAAGCATGCATCTGTGACTGCTTAAGTCATTTGGCCTTACAAATCAAATGTTCAGGCCCATAGCTGACAGAATTAAATATTGCTAAGCCTACCTATTCTTGCTGCTGATGTGCCGAGAAATGTCTATTCCCTTGCACCTGAATGCGACTCAAAAGCTCCATCAGCTTGCTTTTCTGGACTGGCATAACTGAAAATCTTTTAAACTTCTGCCTCTTGCACTCAGCCTATTTCACAGACACAGTTCAAAGCACAGTCTTTTATTTAGGTTTTTTTTTTTGGCAAGCACTTGTACTTCACATAGGTAAAGGAATTACACAATGAACAAAGTAAGTAGATATCTCATATGCCAAAGGAGTGATAAAAAGCAACATTACACATAACACAAACAAAAGCAACTCAGTTTTAGGAACACATTGGGAGTTCATTAGCAAAACACTAGTACACAGGTTTTTACAAAAACTGGCATATGTATAAATCTTCTAGTGCAGTGGTAAAGAACATTTTTGATTAAAATTTTAATTAGGTTTAAAATGTGATCAGAATTATGACAATACTGGAAACTGATCCAGAAGTGTGCTATTATACTTTTGTCAGCAAGTATAAGCATTATGGAGAAAGAGAGAGAAAAAAACCCCAAAATATAACTGTATAGATTCTGGAATCAGGTCCTACCTTCCATTAACACTATCAAAATATCCCTTAAAATGGTGATGGTGGTTGCCAGAACAAAGATGGAAAACACAAACGTGCAGATTGGGTCAGCTATTTTGTATTCTGGCTAGAAAAATATGAACACATCACTTCGTTAATTTCATTACTGTTGGTTATTGCCATTTTTAATGAGTTAATCTCAAAGAATAATATATTCCATTCATCTAGTACAGAATGAGTGCTGACCTTTGCCATTTAGGGAGCCTCAGCACAGGGAAAGAAGATGCTACAGATAAAGAAAAGGAGAGACACCAAAGTATCCTCCTTGCAGTTGAAACACCCAGAAGCAAGTGTAACACTCTTAACAGTCATTTTAATTCCCAAGAATAAGTATAATTGACTAAATTACAATGTATATCATTAAGACAGAGAAAATATTTACATAGCACCTAGTGTCACAATGCTATGAGAATAACTGTTATCCTTAATTGCAAGGAAGGGAAGTGAACTAATAAAACTAACCTTAAAGAAGATGATAAGTGCACTAATTAGCACACTAATACTCTGGAATAGATCTCCGATGGTGTGCACAAAGGCTGCCCGGAGACTGACATTGCTCAGAGCTGCCTTTTCTGGAGGGGCTGAGACGTGTTCCCTGGCTTGTGCCCCATGGCTGTGCCCATGGCCAGTCTGGTGCAGAATCAGGCTTAGTCTGTAAGACATGTAAAGCTGCAAACATCAGTGGGGTTACTGCATCTCTGAAAGCAGTGATGTCACACGCATTATCAATCACTTGTGAAAGCTGAACAGTAAAATCAGACACATTAGGCGACTGAGCAGTGGCTAAGGTGATTCAGTGTCTTTTATACAAACAAGAAAGTCTGTGAACAGGGAAATTAATGAGGCCTCATTTTCTATAGAGTTCTTGAATGTTCTGAGATCTAATAAAAAGTGAGATGGAGATTAATCTTTTCTTGGAGTTTGTGCATTCATAATTTCCCTTCCCAGTATAGCAGCTAACAGAAAAGAGGAGAGCAACTGCAACCTTCAATGAGAAGCAGGATCTCTCTTCTCTACCCCTTTCCATATCCTTATGAAACTCATAAACATTTAATATTTTTGAGGTCAGTATCTCTCTATCATTTTTTGTTGAAATACAGAGGCAGGTTCAAGGTTCAAAATTTATATGGAGAGGAAAACAAAGTAACTTACAGGATGTTGGCGAGCACAGCACAAGCAGAGGTAATGAGCATCACTGTAGCATCAATATTGTAATTGGGGTGTAGCAGCCTCATGCTAGCCAAATATGTCAACAGGCCAGTCACCATCCAAACTATTATCATAGACATCAAAGCTCCTAGAATTTCTAGGAATGAAAATAATTTTATTTTAACAGGAGTCATAATAGAAATTCAAGAAATTTTAAGAGATTGATGGTAATGGTTCCAGGTTTGTGAGTTTTAGAGCCAGGAGAATTACTTCTTGTGTGTTGGCAGCCTTGATGATCACAATGAATGGGCCAAACCCCTTTCTGATCATAGCAAATCCAGTGGCTACCCAAGGCAGCCCTATGTATGTGGTGACCTAACTCTGTTCTACCTGTTCCTACTTTTGTCCTCTATCCAGAGTTGAGTTCATGCATCATTTGGAGAATTTGAAGAGATGAAAAAGATTATTTGGGAAGTTTTGGGAGGAGCAAAAGGAGCTGTAATGGGAAGGAAGGATAAAAGAGTAATTCTTTTATAACTTATGTAGTTGCCTGGCCCTGCCAGTGCGGTGTGAAGACCTCAGGAACCAGCCCTCCTTCCCCAACAAGATTATCTTGGTCACAGGAGCAGAGGTTGGAGGGAAGGAGAGAGGCACAGCTCACCCAAACCCACTGGCAGGCATAATCCCCCTCGAATAGCCTCCTTCGTTTCTGCACACCTCTTGTCACTTCACACTTCAGAAAGGCAGTGACAGCCCCCAACAAGGTCCTGCCAGCAAAACCTCTCCTTCCTCTCTCCTGGGTCTCATCCTGCCAATGCCACAAAATCATTTTTGTGCCACCAGCAGTGATGAGGATGAAAGAAGTTATTTTTTCCCTAAGGCAGCAAAATTTAATTTTGTCTCTATTGGCTCTGAGTTGGGCTCAAATAAATCCATCTCCCAAGGCCACCTTTTATTGCACTGCCATAGGAGAGGACCAGGGATGTTCGTATGAACGTGCAGCATGTTTTTAATAGGATGTGGGACTAGTAATTGCCATGTGACTTGAATGGGTAAATGTTCTTTATGAGCACAACTGAGACAATACCAAGGAAAATAAAAGCTCACAGTAAAGTCAGTAGATAGCCAGAAAGAATGAAGCACTTGCAGACCTTCACTCTCAGTACATGAAAGCAGCTGAAACTCAACTTATGATTTTGAATATATTTTTATGAGGGTGACACTTTTTGCAGAAGTCCTGGCTTCAGATGCTGATCAAAAGAAACATTTTGTCTAAAACAGAAAAATAACAAATGAAAGCGTGCTGACAGGGAGATCTAAAAGTAGATAGAGAGAAGCTAACATAAAGCATATCTGGTGTTTATATTTACTGCAAGTTACAGGTTGAAACCCTGCAAATTTGGCCCAGCTGAAGTTGTTGATGTCTATGCTATCATTAGCATGAAAGGAGACAACAGATTTTGTGAACACTTGTATGAATATCTGTGTGCATCCATGCATATACTCCACAGTGGAGTATGTTAGAGGTCATCTTCACCAACACAGGTGAAAATACGTATTCCTTCTCAATGTATTATCTTAGCAAAAGTTTAACTAAGCTTACAGACCAGTTCAGTAGTGCTAAATAGTAGTATTTTACTCAAGATATTCTCAGTTACATTTCTTCAGAACTACTAGCACTAACAGAGTACAGCAAACAATAGTGTAGTATTTTTTGGGAATCACTGAATCATACCAGAGATAAAGAAATTGAGGTTGAAGAGAGCTTTCCTACCTGGAAGTAGGTCTGGATCACACTACCAGTTTCATTCAATATTGTGCATCTAGCCTTGTTGCTGAAAGTAGCTGCACACCCAAAGAAAGGATTGCATTGAACTCCTGTCTTGACTGGTTCTGCTGCCTGGTTCTGGCTATAGAGGACAGGAGGCATTCAGATGGCTTCTGCTAAACCTGAGCCCTGCCAGACGCAGCCTTTGCATGATAAACCCTATCTATCAGTCTGAGAAAAGCAGTGAAAATACAGCTTCCAGTGTCATGGAGGGCTGCAGCTGAGAAACCTTGATAGTCAGTGCACAGTGACTCTGCTGCCCACCTGACTGCCCCCAGCTACTCTATTAAGGCACCCACCTGCATATTAATCTGGAAATATAGCTGGGGAAATAAGCAAGAAACAGGATAACAATCATGGAATGCCTAGCACAGAAATTTGATGCAAGGTTCTCTTTGCTGCCAGGATAAAAAGAAGATTGAAGTTCTGCATTGCAATGGCAAAAAAATAAAAAATCTAACACAGACTGAGAGTGAAGTTACATGAGGTGGCTAAACCTGCCTACATCAGCGAGAGAGAAGTCCCTCTTTCACTTTCCTTTCTTCCCAGACTAAGAAAGCATAAACACAAAAAGTAATTAAAGATCAGTTGATGGGAAGCAGTAGTTTGCTAAGGCTGCAAAATTCGGCTGTGTGTTGTCTGCATGATGCCAGCCATGCTTCAGTGACGGTAAACCTCCCCCTCATCCAGCAACCTGTTTGCAGCCGAGTTGGTAGGATATACTTAGGGAGCCATAAAAAGAGAGGGTGAGTATGGCATATGTATTCCCTGGTACATTCTGCAGCTACAAGCAACCTTGGCCTACAGACATCCTCAGTCAGGAGCTGTTTCTGGACCATCCTTGAAGCATTTATAATCTGAGTCCTCAGTTCAGGTGCGTAGGTGTCTAGAGCCATTTGAGATACACTGGCACCTCCATGTATGGCTTGACACAAGATGTATAGAAGACCAATCTACTTATGGAGTGGCAGCGAGAGACTTTATGGAACACATTAGGGCATTTCAAACAGCACTAATCACTTATATATGAGCACTAAACTGAGCCCTATGACACGCAGCATGGGATTCATTTCCAGACCAAGACAACAAAATTAAAATGTCTACATGTAGGTGTGAGCTAAGTGTCTAAGCTCCCTTTGTGAGCAAAGGACATCAAATTCATTGTGATTCACACAGCTTTCTGTTCCACTGACTGACTGGAAACACTTGCTCGTTTCTTAACTATGATTGTCTAGTGGCATTTGAGATACCCTGGTCCTGTGCTTGGCACCCTGTGCAGTCTGGGTCTTGTGTGACAGCTGCCATTCCCACGCATCAGTTTAGGGATGTAGCACTAGGCTTCTATGTTTAAGCGCCTAAATGGAGTCTAGATTTCTGTTGAACATATCAGAAACTTGGACCCTGTGCTTCTACGTGCTCACCTATGTGTATTATTTAGGTGTCTAAATCTCTAAGAGAATCATCCCCTCAGAAAATTTTTCTCATAGCTAATATTGCTGGTGTCTTGTCTTTTGTATAAGCAGTTGTGTTTGATTGTACGACTTTTGGTATTAGGTGTCACCTGTAAATATATTCATTTTGGTTGAGGACAGAGAACTTTAAAAACCTATCAGTGCTTCCATCTGATAAAAACCAGCAGTGATAAAGAGATATGCAGAGAGAGGATTTAGAAAATGGTAAATGTTAAAGCACCTCGCTTTCGTATAAATATAACATTGCTGTATTTTTTAAACAATTTAATTATTTGCTTTACCATTCTATTAATGGAGTAGACCCTCATTTTTCTGCCTATTGCTACTTTTATAGAAACTTGTGTTTCAGAGTAGATTGAGGACTTGGTTTTCTTCACATTTAAGTCGCTGAGGGAAGCTGCTGTTATCTCAGCCAAAGCTAGCACCAGCCCAACACTATATTAAATAATGAACTGAAAGACATGTTTGTAGATAGGAGATGACTGTGCTCTTTACTTCTTTGAAGCTCACTGGCTTCCTCTGTTTGTTGTGTCTTGGGGGCTTTGAGAGAATTATTGCACTATCTCTAAATATCTGCAGACCTACGTTGGACATTGGCACGTTTTCCAGTCCCTGGCTATGATGACTTCCCTCTCCCATTCCACATGCTCATACTGTGACATGTTTGCTACCTGCACGGTGCCACCCAAAAGTGAACTGCTTGGTGGGAGGTTTGGAGGCAAGCCACAGCGAAAAGAGGCTGATCAGGAAGCTTGTGAGGTCCACCAGGATGTGTGCTGCGTCGGTGATTACTGCCAGGCTCCCAGCAATCTGCCCACCTGTGTGAAACATGCATCCAAGTCATGGCTCTGGTCAGAAGTTTGGGTCAACAAGATCAAACTGCTTTGCTGTGAATCAAAGGGAACACTCAATTTTCAGTGATCATACACACAAAACTCTTCAAAGATAGTTTCATTTTGTACCTCATTTGTGCAGTGAAAGGTATGAATTAATAGAAAAAAATAAGCTAAATTTCTTTGTCCAGGAGAGAGACAGAGTCCTAAGGACAATAAGAGTTGTGATACATTAGTGCTGTGGCTATATTACTGATGGGCTATTTTACTGTGACTATTTTAATATCAGATATTTTTTTGTGAAAAGCAGTATTAGGGATCCTATTTCCAGTATTGTCCCACTATCTTTTCACAGATCACTGATATTTTTATATATGTACAAAAACTCAGAGACTTAGTTTATGGGATTAATTTCCTATTTGTTATAGGGAACTATGTATATTCTTCCTGAGATTTGGATGGCTGGATGCCCAACTGCTTATTTGTGACAGGAACACTAAAACAGGAGTAAAAAGAAAGGTCCCAGTAGGAAAGCTGTGATAAACAACTGACCATTTGGGTGAGGGCATAGAGAAAACCGTTCTGTGTGCAGGACTAATCTGTCATTTTGCATCGGTAATACATGATTTAATTTTCCCGTTAGAGCTGGAAAAATGTATCTGAATGTTATTTCACTTTGGGGGGTTTTGGTTTCATGTGAATCCTGGGGGGGGGGGAAACAACAAAAAAAACGCAACCCAACCCAACCAAAAAAAAACCCAAAAAACCCAAACCAAAAAAACCCAAAATATTTTAGGCCATCTGAAACCACATTTCTTTTACCCAGTAAGCTAAATATCATTATTTTGCCAAAATCTTCTAACCATGTCTCAGGGCTAAAGGCAAATCCAAAGAAGCTAAAAGATTGCTCTAAACTACCCCAGCTGTTGGTGGCTGCTGGAGAAGACAAGGACCACAGGCAGGAAGCTGTCCTGCCCACTTGTTATAGCAGGGGAATCTTTTCATCACAGTGGAAATGTAGAAAAATGGAAATGTGAAATAATAGAGCCAAAACATTTAGTTTCTGAATTTGGCAATATATTTCCATCTTTCTTCAGTCATTTAATTAATTTCAGCTCACCTATTTCTCCTGATCACAACCCATATGAGAATCAGTGAATCCTGAAAAACATCATAAAACGCCTCATTCAAACTTTTGGCAAGATACCACTGCCAAAGGGACATGTAGACATATCTTTTGTTTCCTTATAGATGGAAAGTCTTCATGCCAGCAGGATGGATTGTTTGTTTAATTTCCTCCCATATGCAGATTTTAGACTAGAATACCTAATACTGTATGGTTTGTACTGCAGGAGAATGTTTATTGCACCTATAGAGCATGTATTATTTTTCTCTGTTACCTCCCTATACATCTCATTTACAGCTGCTTGAAAGTTAATTCCCAAAAGGGAGCAAGCATGACTGCAGAATTTGAGGGCATCTCATTCCTTGCAGTAAAATGAAAAATTCAACAGAACAGGGATTTCCCAGAACATGCACATGTGGAAATGCACATATACTTTTTAGCCATGATACAGCTCTTAGACTTTCACTGTTTGCAGGATAGCAGTTTCTCAAGTGGGAAGTAATTTTGCATAGCAGAAGGAAGTAGGCTTGTCTGAGAGTGCACAGATGTTATCAACCAAGGCATCAGCTATCTTTCAGCAATCAAATATGTAGAGCACAAGCTGTCTGCAGAGCCCTATTGCATTTTAGATACTGTATTTCCATTTTCTGTGGGACAGCATTAAACAAGCTTGCTTCTAGCCTGCCATCTTTGAAAAATGTTGGCAAATTATTATTTTATGTATTGCTGGCATAATTAATGCCTTGGGTGAGCTTCTGAGATCTCAGTCTGCTTATTTTAGCAGTGTGGTCAAGTCTTTATATTCTTTTTTGACATGAAGACACATGCAGCGTTTCTCTCTCTCTCTAGTGCCCAAATGGAAATAAAGTACTCTGAAACCTGCATTTGGTCCTTAGCCACTAAAAATCCTTGGAAAGCTCTTTTGTATCAGGGCTGTACACAGGGTGTCATCAGTTTGACTGGTATCTCCAAATCTACGGAGATTGTGATGCATCTGCAAGAAGAAGATAATTTTTTGGAGACAGTTGGTGTATTAGGCTCAGCCAACAGTGCCTCTTTTGGAAGAGCAGTAAGGGCCAGCATAGACCAGTTTGAGAAAAATATGACTGGAAAGATCTAGGGATTCAAAGAAGCACAACTTTTCAACATTTTTGAAAGTGATGCAGCTTTGTTTCTTCTGTTTAGCATAATAATTCCCACTGAAGCTGTTTGCCCTTAAGAGGAGAAGGAAGGGGGACATATTCTTTATTTTAAATAGTAAAGCCTGTGTAATAGTTATAGGTTTTTATTGCTTTGTATCAATACTCCCAACAAGTGGCTTTTATGACTTACTATTACCCACAATGGATGTTTATAGCTTTGTATACCACAAAGTCGTAGAAATTGTCAGTCACTCAATGGTCAATCATGAGGCACAAGCAGTCTAGCCTAATGATTAAAAAAATTAAATGTATGGTTCATAATTGCAAAAATCTCTATAGACTGCTGTCTGTAACTGCAGTTAATAGCTGGTTTGTCAAAGTTTAATGGTCTGAAGCAAAATGGTCTTCAAGCCTGTTACTTAAGCTGTCACTGCAAAAAAGTTGTATGATCCATTAAGCAAAATGAAACATTTAGTTAGCATATCATCTGTCCTTCCAATTATCCTCTAGCATTGCTGCATTCACCAAACTTAAGCGTACTGATTATATGGTTTTGTTAGTAATGCATTGCTTCTGGCACTGGAAATTACTCCGTGGAGATTAGTGGTATGCACCAGTTTTCATGGGGGAATTGCATGTGACCTACAAACAACAGGTCTTCCTGCAGATGAAGCACAGGGCACGGAAGAGTTGGAGAAGTCCCTGCTGGGTTTGGCAGCCAGGGGAGAAGGCAGAAATTCAGCAGCTCTTTCAGTGCCTCCACTTTTCACCTGTGGGAAGACAAAGACTTTCTCCTTCATTTTCATGGGTCTCCAGACAAGCTAAGGCTGGGAAAACATGGGTTTCAGAGGCCTTCCTGGCTGATTTTTGTTACATCCCCTGTGGCACATATGGCAAAAGTCTGTAGGATTCCTTATGCCTTATCTTACCTCACCTCATCGAGGAGAAGGGGAAATTAAAGAGCCAGGAACTATCGGGTGGGTATAAATATGACAGAAGACATGCAGAGAGCAGATTGGTGAGACAAAACGAAAGCTAATGTTCTGTGAGCAAGCCAAATAGTTATATTAGATATTGTAGGATGGGTCCAGAAGTGAAAGCTAATTAGACAGGGGAATAAACTTCCATTGATCCCGAGACACACCAGCAGGCCAATTTAAAAGATAAACGTGCCCTGGTATAAATACATTGACTTAACTGAAGAAAAGCAGATGGTGAATCTGGCCCTGGATTTCCCTGGATTTTGTAAAGACTGTTGCATTTAATATCAGATCCTGCTGCTAGCAGCCTTCATCAGTGCTGAAGTCTCACTGGCCTGGATAAATATGTAAAATCTTTTCATCTTTTCCAAAAAAATGTAACCCAATCTATTAGAAACCTTTTGTGACACAATGCTAACACATGCTAGCCACTTTTAGGCAGGCTTAAAGACCTGAGAGAACAGTTCAGGCCATTAACTAATCTTTATATTCCTCCCCAGATTCAATTATTAAATGAGTATATGAAAATATTTTTATAATTTCACTTTTAAAACCCCACAATTCTTTTAAAGACTGGGAAGAAAGGAGAGTTGTTTTATTCCAGGTGTGTTCACCTCTGTGCATCATGAGTCCCTGTCAAAGTGCATACAAAAGGACATGAATATGGCTGTGCTGGGCACCAAACTGAGCTCTCTTTGGGCAAACGTACTCCCCTGTAATCTCAGCAATCATGAAGAAGATGCAGATTACTGATGCTGCACAGAGCTTCCTTCTGGCTTGATGCTGCTCCCTTTTTCTGTTCTCATAGACCTGTGAGTGGCCATGACAGTGACATGCTGGATTAGCTTCAGTAACTTCTGCTTCCTGCTGCTGCCTCTCTTCATTTAAATTCTTCTGATGCCAGCTCATCCTTCAGGATTGAAAGAAACAGACGATTAAAAAAGAGAAAACATCGTTATTTGGGTGTCTAGCCCTGCAGCCCCAGAAACTATGTAATTAATGCTTGCGAGGATAAAAGCAGTGTTGGGAACAGCGGAGCAGGTCACAGAAGAGGCTTGCTTGCACAAGCAGGGCTTGGCAGAGGGAGCTGCACATGGAATGATGGCTCTGGGTGTGTTTCCCAGATCTTTGGGCTCTCCTACATCATTTAGCAGTTTATGACTTTCTTAGGCTGTATATTTTCTGCACACTGTATGATTTTTCAAAAAGTCATACCTCATGCAAATAGTAACCAAATTCAGCATAGCATGGAGACAATTCCAGAGAAAATTTCATTTTTTTATTCCTAACAGTTTTGTTAGGAAGACTATTTTTCTAAAAAACCTTCTTTTTCTCAAATATAATTGACTAAAGATATTTCTCTCCTCTCTTTGCATGTACAAAAACTATCAGCAGGTCTAAGCATAGAGAATATTAGCCCAAAAGTTTCAACACACTTAAAAAAAAAAATCAGATAAATCAAATCTGCTTAGTATGCTGACCCCTTTGTGCCACTGATTTCACAGAAAGGCAAGAAGTTCAGCAGAAGTGGCTCTTTGAGCATTGCTCCGTGACAAGGTGATTTCCCAGCCAAATCTGCTCTGCCACAAAGCCTTGGAGCTGTCCTTCTCAGGCCTCCTGCATAGGAAATAAGGGATGGGGGTAGAGAGATTTGGGGCTGAGCACATTATATCATTGCAACTGCGGGAGCCCCCTGATGACCATGACATCTGGTGCTTTCATGAGAGCAGCTCAGAGACTCCCACAGGGGAAGCCCCAAGGTGGTGTGGTAAGCAAGGACGTTCCCTCTTCCTTATCTATCAACAGACAGGAGCCCAAATGGGAAAAAAAACCCCTCAAAACATGTCCCAGGAGGCTCAACTGAAAACCATTATGTCTGTCCAGATACATTTGCTGCCACAACTACTCCTGATGTGATAACCCTGTTGGTGAAACATCCCTTGCCATGCAGTGAGACTTGTGGGAGCACACTGTGGCATCAAAAGGTGAATTCTGCCCAGATGCGTGTACATAACTTCCATATAACCATGTGTTACAGCTATTTGAGGTCTGTGTATGCAGGGCTGTAGTTCTCAAGCCTGCCAAGGAATGCAGCAAACTTCAGTGCTGTTTCTGAGTCTGAAATCAGCCTGGGAACATAAAGTGGGGCTGGGCTTAACTGTGCCCAGTAATAACAGCCTTTTTTCCCCATTCTAAAGACTTCTCTTTGGGACTAAGGAGAATTGCTTCTTCAGTTGTGTGAAGGAGACCTATGCTCCAGGAAGTACATGGATCTTGGCAACTTTCTGTAGCATTTCTGCACCGTTTATGGAAGTGTCAAGATCCCTAAAATCTCACTGGAAAGGAATCATGCCAGTGGCTGCCAATCTGCAGTAGTTGGATGTCAAGAAAAAAACAGCACTGAAATCACAAGCTTTTTCCAGATGCCTTTTTGGGCAGCCTGAGGGGGCTGCAGCTGCTCAGCAGGTCTGAAGTCCTGCCAGATGCCCCGCAGCCTGCACCCCACCAGTGGGCAAGAGGCAAAGGCGGCCACAGACCTGTGGGTGCCTTGCCCGTTCATGTTCACCAGCATCACAGAGGTACTGGTGAAAGGAGAAGAGCTGACCCACCTTGGAAACCAAGTCCTGCAACTGTAGATAATCCACATGGAATTGGTTTTGTAAATATTATTGAAATGTTCCAAGGATGCAACATGTTCCCCTGAGTCAGCCCGTTTCCCAGCCAGGTTAGCATGTGGTCTCTGTTTGCTCAGCAGAGGCGACCTGTTCCCCATGTACGTGAGGAGCTTGCATGAAAGAGCAACTGGTCGCATTTAATGCCTGATGCCTGGACACAGTGAATTTTCATAGTCTTTTTGTCAGTGTTTACCCTTATTTTCCTCACAACAACAAATAAATGGGAGCTAGGCCATCTGGGGAATGGGCTGCCCATCTGGTAGCTGGGATTCCCGCTAGCCAGTCCTTCTCCAGTCCTTTAGTTTTATATTCATCAGGCTCCTCATGTGTACTGTGTCACTTATATGCAATATTCTCCTGATGAATTAGAAGGTATCACAAATTGATTCCTTCCAGATGGCTGAATAACATACTGTAGTTCTCTCGCTTTCCTCTGGAGATCAGGGTATGCAAGTTTTTCTTTCTTGTGATCCCTCTCTGGAGTTAACTTCCAATGCTTTTCTACAGTTTGCATGTAAAACTAATTTCCCTTTAATGCAATTTTCATCAGCTGGCGTTGAACATTAAAATCATCTTAACGACATGAGTCATGATCAGCTCAACAGCCTGTCAGGGCTGGGATGCCAAAATTACCCCTGCAGATTTCTGAGCCACCAAATCCTTTCCTTGCTGTTAACAAAATAGGTCGCTTTGTGATCCCCCTCCCTTTTTTTAATCTTCAAGTCTTTCCATCAGCTAACAAAACCTCAGAGTACCACTGAGGGGTAGGAAAGCACTGTCCACAGATCTCGTTGAATAGATGCAATAGCAAACAGAGACAGCATAAACCCACAAATGTCACATTTTTCTATCTAAAGAGTACCTAAATAAAAGTGGCCTGGTTGTCAGAGGTGGCGAGCATTCGCTGCTCCCTTTGAACTCACAGAGCAGCTCCCGGCCTGATGAGTTAGGAAGACTCCTGCCAGCTCCTGTACGTAACCATTATTTTTTTCTTCCAAGAGCAGCCTGCCACTAATTAAAAGAATCTAAGAGACAGTTTTATAAGTGTGTGAATCAAAAGCTTAAGGTGTAGAGATCAGCTCTGTCAAACCATAAACCCCTTCTGAGTCTGTTAGAGCAAGATGTAGCCATTGAGCATCAGATCTCTGCACCAGCACACTGCAAGCAGAGTTCCAGTTTAGAAAATCATCTTTTCTTCATTTCAAATTCTCTTTCCTTTGTAAAAAAGATTGCTGGGGAACGTCACAGAAAGGCTCCTACTGAGTCATGCCCAGAAGGGGAGAAGGAGAAAATCTTAATACATATTGCAGATTCCATACAAATCATTAGCAATAGCTTTTGATTACAACTTCCTTTTGTTTGTTTTCACTTGATCTGTTGGGTGCCTTGATCTGCAGGCTGACAGGAATAATTGCCATCCTCCTAGACCATTATGAGATCCCCAGTCAAAAGAGAAAAATGTGGAATCACTGCACTTCCCACAGGAGAGCATCTCCTTCACAAGGGAAAATAGTAATTTTTTGGTGCCTGAAAGAATGAAACTGCCTTCCAAGAAAAGCCTCCCTTAGTCTGGCTCCACTCCAACTTCAATTGATGTACCAGTCCTGAATATTTCCTAGTCATTTAAGACTCTGTTTATAACCTGGCTGTCCAGATTCTCTTTTTCCTTTAACAGTATTTTGGGCACAAAGCAAATATTTATATATTTGCATACATTTAGATGTCTACTAGATGAGAATTTGTCATGTAATTATTTTATTTAGTCTCATTTTGAGAGCTTGGCCATGTACGCATTAACGTATTGTCAATAAATTTCCTTCTGCATAACAATATAGCAATAGATGTACTGAGCTAGACCAAAGGTGCATGTAGCCAAGTATCCAAACTCTGCTCTGAGTGTGAGGGGATATATAAGGACAAAGTACAAGAAAGGAACACGTCTAGGACAGTACTGATCCCTGGCTGCACAAATCTGGAGGCTGGGTGATGGCTGAACCAGAGCTCGTGTCTAATAGCCCCTTAAACATCTTTCTTCCACAAACCTGGATGTCTTGAAAGTGTTGAGTTCCACTGCTTAATCGTGATTTGTTTAAAAACAATACATCCTTTGTTACATTAAAGCTGTCTGCCTGATATTTTAATTAGTTCTTGTACTGTTAGAAATAATGAATGGCCATTCCCTCTTTACCTTCTTCACATCATTCATGATTTTATGTATCATTATTATACCCCTGAACCATCAATTTCCTGAGCTGGTGTCCTAGTTATTTAATTTCTGTTCCCTACCTCTTACCATCTCGGTTTTAATTTTCTTTCCAAGATAGAGTGGGCATAACTGAAGGAGACGCTGTATGGCCAGTACTGTCAGACACAGTCCTTTCTAGAGGGTTCTCATGTCACCTAACACGAGAGCAAAATCAAGGGGATGGGTTTTGCTGAGTTCCCTAAGGTACTGTGTGCTCCTGGGGCCAGGTGGCAAGCCAGTACAAAGGAGACTTAACCACAGGACCCACAGCTAAAACCCTTCAGAAGTCACAAGAAACAGCTAAAGTTTTCCTGAGCATTGACTTTTGCAAAGCACAAGGAGTGGTGAAAAGCCCTTATTTGATGAGGGCTCTTTGATCCCATAAGAGTTTTCATATTGCCTGCAGGAAGGCAGAAAAAGAAGAAAATATTCCCTACATGCTTGTTATAGAAAATCAATCTCCACCTGAAAAAAATCATCTCCCAGGCTCACCTCAAATTTACTGGTATAAGCCTGGCAGACATATCTCACTTGATATGCCTTACAGAACATTTTTGCATAAGGCACAAGGTTCTGAGTGCTCAGCTTCAGACTCTGGTTCATACCCTTCCTGGAGGCTGGTGAGAAGTGGTGTCCTATCCTGGGATCAGTCCTGAGTAATATATTTGTCCATTACCTGGAGGAGGAGGTGGAATGCACCCTGATTGAGTTGGCAGGTGATGCCAGTCCGGGGATGCAGCTGACACATTGGAGGACAAGGCTGCCTGTAGGCTGGAGGAAGGGGCCAATAGGAGCCTACTGAAATTCAGCAAAGATGAATGCAAAGTCCTGCACCTGGGACAAACTTCTGAGACCATATCTAAAATACAGTTTCCAGTTTTGGAGTCCCCAGAACAGGAGAGATCAATAAACTGGCACAGGTTCAGCAGAGAGTCATCAAGATGGTTGAGGGCTGAAGAATTGCCCTGGAGGAACTGGACTTGTCCAGCCTAGAGGAGAGGTGGCTTCAGAACACCTAACAGCAACCTACCAATATTTTTGAGGATGTTATTGAGAAGGTGGTGCTTTATTGCTGTGTATGGAGGAAGCATGACATAAATTGAAGCAAGAGAAGTTCAGACTGAATATAAGGGGAAAAAAAATTGACTGTGTGGTTAATTCAGTATTGGAGCAGATTGTCCAGACAGGTCATGCAGTCTCCATCCTGAGGGCTTTTTTTCAAGACTACATCAGATAAAGCCCTGAGCAGCCTTGTTTGATCTCTTGGCTGACCCCACTTTGAGCAGGAGGTTGGACCAGACATATCCAGAGGTCCCTTCCAATCTGAATTATCCTACAAGCCTACAGCTGACCTGATTTTCAGAAAGCTCAGTTAAAGCCCACCCCCTTGTAAACATTTCAAGTTTGGCATGGGAGACCTCAATGCATCCAAGCCTGCTGGTGACTACAGACCAGCTTGGCATATACAAAACACCCTCCCCCACAACCTTGTGTTCAGGGAACAGGGCCTGTATTCAGACTTCCTACTCACATAGTTAAGATAAAAACAGTTTTATTCCCTGTGTATTGTAATAATGGCATTTATTAAAAAGGAAGAGGCTGGGGGATGGCAAAGAAATAGGCAATCTGTGTGCAAAATAAATTCTGTTGAAAGCGTTAGAACTGTTCATTAAGCCTACACACAGGGAACGGAAAAATGTGGTAATTTAAACCAAGGCTAAGATGAGCTTACTGCTACTGATCAGCTTAAGACACCTGAAGCTGTGCATGCAGCTGGTCTGTGCAAGCCCGAGCCCAGCAGGCTGCATCACCCCGCCATGCTGGGTCCCTGGGCAGGCTGGCTCTGGCCCCTGGGCTGGCACCCCGGGCTGCTGGACTGTGGGGGGGAGCAGGGTGAGGGTTTCCTCTGAGCTGCCAGCTCTTCCAAACAGCAGGGAGACCTTTGTTTATTGCAGGGACAGATTAATTACGTTGTGCAGTTAATAAAACTTCACCTGGAAAGAAAAGCTGAGAGGAGGGGCAACACAAATGCCACATGCCTGGAAGACAAGTCTTCTTCCTCCTGGTGAGCTGAGTTACCACTGCCATAACTCAGCCAGCTCAGGACCTTTGCGGTGCATCCCTGCTGGGACTGGCCCTCAAGTTCTGGGGCTGTTGGGCATATCTGCAGCAATCAGCCCAACAACTGCAATTGTTGCAGTGATTTGCCCCAACCAACTTCAATCCTGAATTAAGAAATAATTATGGGAAATAAATTGACTACATCAGAAGGTGAGTCAGCTCTCAGATGGGAGGATGAGCTGTTGGGGATTCCTGCACCCGGTGTGCATCCTACCCCTCTTCTCATTAGGGATATTCCCTGTTCCTGGTGATCTGGGGAAAAATGAGGGCTTCCTCACAAGGCAGCCTAACAACTATCCCTGTCTCAGGGCACCCCTTTCCACACTGTGTAAAGGGTTTGTCCAGAAATGTCCTTGTGTCCAGAGGTAGCCAGGGGCTAAAGGACCTCAACCACTGAAGCTGTGCACACAAAATTGCAAATTATCAAAAAAGCTGAGTTCTTCAGTAACTAAAATGAATTTCAGAATCATATGGGATCATTTTAAAATATAAATATTACCACAAAAGTCATTTTGTACAGTGTCATGTATATTTATGGAGCCATGCAATAATATTTAAATAATAACTCAGACATTCAAATGACTAAAATACGATGGCAGTGACCCCAGTATAAGAACATGAAGAGACAGATTTCCATTTGAACTGACAGTGTTTACGCCAAGTTTCTGTCCCACGCGTTTTAAGAGAGCCAAGCAATAAATAATCTGAAAACCAATGAGATAATGGAAATGTCAAGAGGTGCTAAATTGTAACTGAGCAGCTATTTTCTTTTAAAAATACTTGCTGGTCTGAGTCAAGAGGAAGAATGAAAATAATTTCCAACTGCAAAACTATTTTGTGACAGACATTTATACTCATTTTTAAACCCAAGCTATAGCATATCATATGTTTTCAGAGGGTCTTTCCTCACTCAAGCAAGCATTTACTCACAGGACCTTTAGCATGCAAGAAGTACATCAGCTTCAAGTCTGATAAACTATCCACAGAAATAAAGTTTTGCAGAATGAAGTCCTTAACAGCATCACATTTCTTTCACACCAACTAGATTATTTACACATTCAAGAATGAACAAACCTTGAATCAAACATGGTGTCAATAGCACTATTATAATTCAGCCTAAAATTGCAACATAATCTATGAGGTTTTGCATCCTACAATAAATCTACTAAGCATATAAAATACATAGCAGGAGACACTTGTTTCCACAGTAGATTGGTTCAATCCATCACAGATGCAGACATATAAGGCTGCTGTCTAGTAAATGAATCAAACATTTAATAAGAAAGTTTGGGAAAGAAAAAATCAAACAAAACATTCTGAAAGTAGAGAAAGATGTTCCCTGTACACACTGTGAAACTCCCCATACTTTGACTTTTGCAGCCCGTCAGCAGCTCTCAAAGACAAAGCAATGTCAGTTAAGGAAACGGAGTTGTGTTACCTGTCTAGGGCCAAGGAGTACTTCTTGGTGTCCCTCTCACTCACAAGGCAAGCTCTTTCAAGACCCTTTTTGGCAGCCATGAGGAAAGTCGGTGGGGTTTTACTTGTTTTTTTTTCCCCCGTTAAACTCTCTTGTCTCTGTTGGAAGCGGATGCGGTCAAAAACACCCTCCCAACTTATGCAGAAGTATTTGCCAAATATTTTTAAATAAAAAGGTTTTAATAATCTTCTCAATAAACCCACTGTGAGAGAAAGCTGCTTCCCTAGTGCTGGTGGCGTCACTAACATGCCAACTAGCAACTTGCTGAGCATGTCAGATTGGAGGTTTTGGGCCTCCCTCCTATTTTTTTCTTTTTTCCCCCACCATGTTTGGTGCTGTGATATGCTCTTTGGTCATGCGGTGGGTGCATGCTCTCCCAGTCACTGGCTTGGGGTCAAGCTGTCTGTGCGCACACTGAAGTGTATGCGGGTGCTTGCTCATGTGTGCTGAAAGAGAGGATGAAGGTAAACAAAACAGCCTGATTTGCCTGGAAACAGTCAAATCACTGTTTGTCTTTCTGCTTCCTTGGCTAGGGAGGAGAGTACACCTCTCTCACCCCAGCTCGGCACAAGCCTCTTTAATCTAAGTCATCGGTCTAAAGACTTATTTCTCCCCCTGGCACATTTGCTCCTAACGGTTCAAAACAGAAGAGACTGCTTATTATTGCCGCTTGCGACACAGGTTATTGAAATCCTCATTTCACCAGGAAGGACTGCGGGTTGTTATTTCTGCTTTATTCAGTTTGTTAGTTCTGTCGACAGCCACAGTCCCCGGAGGGGGGTAGAAGACCTCCAGCCTCACCTCTCTCACACACATCCTGGCCTCAGACATGCTCTTCAGCACTGATGGGAAATCTTGCACCGGTGCTGTCTGTATTTTACCGTATTCTCAGCAGAAGCAGACTGTGATTGAGATCCCTACCAGTGCAGATGCCTTCACAGGAGTGTTTAGAAATAGGCAGTGAGAAAATCCTGGAAGCTGCATTTAGATTCTGCAGTCGTTTTTTTTTTACCACAGATAGTCTAATATGTATATGATGAGATGGGATGTCCCCTTCCTTTCCCCAGCTTGAAAAACACATACTCTGTCTGAGACTCATGGGGGCAGGGAGGCCTCTCTGTACATCACATAAATGCAAAAAATTTCTTTTACACCATCAGAGATCCACACGTTGCCTCCCACATGCCAGCTGTGCAAACACTTCCCTGGAACCCATAAGCCAAGGAACCTATGGTATCTCAAACACTTTTCTGAACAGCTGCTGCAAGCATCGGAAATACATTTTTTTTCTACAGTGCGCTGTCACCTGTGTCTCTCTAATGTCCTTTTCTCAGGAGAGATTTCCCAGGTGCTTATAGCCATATGTACACGCCATTATAAGCCCCTTTGGTGGAAGAGATCGATTTTCTGACTCGCTCCTGGGACTTCCTAGATTCTTCTGGACATTAAAAAGTTGCTCTTTAATGTTTTTTAAAGTTGCAGCCACTTACTGGGCATGACACTGAATAATCTGAGAAGAGAGTCCAAGGATGAAAAGTCTGGACCCAGATAATTTTCAGAAATCTTATGAAACAGAAATACTACATTACTTGTCACCCCAGAAATGCCATTAAATAGCAATTTTATTCTGCTCCCAAGAGGGAGGAAGGAAGGACAAGGAAGGCAGTCGTTCCAGCTGTGCACCCTGGAACCTGACACAGGCTTATAATTCATGCCCAACAAGGGCTTCAGCTGGTTCCCCATCCCATAAATACCACCATTACTGCAGTGTCCCTGTGTGCTTCTCAACTCATCTTTCCTTTAGAAATCACCAAACACTGACATCCTGTCACAGATCAGAGATGCCCGAAAAATAAACCTGGCCTGATTTACAATGGATCACAGTCTTTCTAAGGTGCTAAGCCAAAGTATCAGGTCTAAGCACGCTCAATTTAAGGAAAATTTTAAATTCACCTCAGAAGATTACAGATAAAGCCTGTTTCTGTTTCAAATCACTGGAAGCATGTAACTTTTGTTAGTGAGATAGATGAGTTTCCATCATTTTGCAAAAGGGTCTTGAGCCTCAGGTGCACACCAGCAAAACAAAGCCATAGATCACTCCCAGCATTTAATCTAGACCTTTGTTTTGTGTTTATTGTTGTCAGTGCTGATGGTTGTGCTTCTCAGGAGACAGGCTGTGAGGCGGGATAGAAAGAAATCTCTTCAGAGCTTTCCACAAAGACTTGGGTTTTCTCTTTATACAGACTCTGAAACTCATTAAGAGACAGCAGCTGTCTGTGGAATTTCTGCTGCAGAGGAATTATTCAGACCATCTCAATAAATTCATCTTCAGCTTTCAATAATAATGCAGTTTGTTTCTGAGTCTACATGAAAAATGCCACATATCCAATCATACCAGTTCTAATGACCCTAGTCAAGGACATTTCTCAAGATCGTCATCCAATGCAGACATTTGAGACATCACACTGGCTTTTGCAAATGAAATCTCATCATCATTATTATCCAAAATCGCCATCAGTTAAAAAAAAAAAGCAACTCCTTGATCCTATTTCAACTTTAATCAGCCACACTTTAAATATGAAAAAAAAAGACCCTCTCATCCTGTCATTATGGAAGTAGATACTGACAGCTTAAATGTACAGAGGGAAATTCAGTGCATCTATTAATTGAAAATGCCAGCGAAGTTGGTCAATTTTCCCAAGCATGAGACATCTTAGAGATCAGAGATCATCTGCAAAGTTCTTCTCCACCTTTCTCTGGCATCAGCTTGAGTAACTCTACTGCACTGCCTACAACCTAGGGATCCAGGCATTTGTGATTTCTGGGGCTTAATTATTACAGTTTTTGCATTTATAGTGTGAATATGCTTTTTTACCCAGTAAAGCTCCAATACCTTCAGCTGGAACCTCTCCAGCCATCTGTCATTTGGGGATCCAAGGCTGGAGGCAAGACAAATTGAGAGAAAAAGCACTTCCCTCTTCTTATAAAACTAGTAATGCAGTAACCTTTTATAAGTGGCTGTCAAAAGGAAAATATCGACCCTGATTTAGAACCTATTTAAAAATCATTAAAAGGATGTTAATGTTCAATATTTTAAAATACTGAATTTTTAAACTTCAATATTTTTATCTTGGATTTGATACCAATATTTCAAAAGAACTGGGACAAAGCCACTGCGTATGTCTCTAGTGAGGGAAAGAAGTCCTCTACAGTGTCTTAGATGGGTATTTTGAATTCCACAAAGTAGGCGGGGAGAAAAAGACTTTTCAGGCCCTCGTCTTTGAGTTTGCATTGAGAGTAAGGATCTAGCAGGAACATAGCACAGTGCCATTTTGAGGTACACAACTACCTACAATAGTAGAAGTCTGTGCTGCTACCAAATCAAGTGGGAATTCTTCTATGGAGTCTGGAGCCTCAGGTCGGCAGTAACAAACATCTATTCCCCACAAAGGGGAGTGTCCAAGCTCAGAGTTTCTCCTGGTGAAGCCAATGGTATGAGACAGCCACTCCCAGGAAAGGCATCTCTGGAGGAGCTCAAGACTCAAGCGCAAGAGAGCCCAGGGTGCCCAGGCTGGGCAGGGAGCACACTGGGAAATACGTGAGGAGATGTAGGATTAATCTAGACCACAGCATGGGAGTCCTGAAGGACACCACAGGCATGAGCTTTGCACAGCTACAAACTTCATATGGCCTGTACCAGGTCTCCTGGAGGGTTTTTTTTTTTCTCCAAGGTGTGATATGAATATGGGTCTAATCTGTATGGTCACAAAAAGTAAGTTTTAGTACTTTTTTGTCCTTTTTAATCTTTTTTATTCAAACTTTTGAAAAAATCTTATTTTCTTAGGCCAACATCGTGCTCTGAATCAGCGTCCCAGCATCTTAGCTCTCATGGTTGAATCCACATTGTCCAAATAATCCAGATTTCATTAAGTTCCTTGGATGGACCAGACTTTCAGAAGTAAGTAACGCTAAGAAATGTTATTTTGATACAGCTGCTTTGGTCTTCTGAGAGTCTGGCAAGCTACTTTGGTGACTGAGTGTCCCAAAAGACCTGTTCAGGAGTAACATGGAGTCTACCCTTAGAAGAAGTTTCTCATTCAAGATTGTAGCTTAAAAGAAAAAGACAGTACAGCTGAAAAACAAATGCTAATGACTCCTCAAATGTTATTGTCAAAGAGTGTGTCAGCTTTTGTTATAAAAATATATTATTATCTTTCTCTGAACACTTAGTGTTTTTCTGTCTCTTTTCCATTGCTATTGCGAAGGGCTTCTGCTTGTTTTTGGTTTTATGTCTGAAGTTGGTTGGGGAATTAAGCCTGTAATTGCACTGCTAACAAGTATTTCTTAGGTACATTTATTTTTCCTTGGGGAAAGCGACTGTTAGGAAGAGAGTACACATATTTTGGCAGCAAAAGAGACAGCTATGACATTTGGTTCCTAAGTTACTACCTGGATATCATTTTAATTGTTTTCTTCTACTAATAAAATATAGTAACTTTACTGCATTAGTTCTTTTATTACACTTCCAACATACATCTCGCTGTCATGCTCTTCCTAAGTATATTTGGGTCATGAAGATACATTACAATATATATTGAGAATCAGTTTGTTAAAGACACAAGGAGTTCTGCATTATTTCTCACTGGTGCAAAACTAATTGGTTTTTCTCAGCTACTGCATATATATTTATTTTCCATTTCATCATCCCTATAATTGCAGTTTGAATTAGAAAAAGGACAGAACAACCTGGTAAAACCGTTTACAGGGACATCCTGCATAAAGGCTTCCCAGAAACCAGGATTTGTCAAGCCTGTTGAATTGCAGTTGGTGTTTAAACAGTGCTCATGTCCTTCCTGCCAGTGCCATGAAGTCACTGGCCATTGCTCATCCACTTTTTCTTTTCTCCAGGACTTCTAAACTTTTCTTTGCAATGATGTGTAATATTGCTAGGAGGTAGGAAACCAGGGCTCACAATTCAAATGTTCAAGGACTGTGAGATTTTCCAAAGTGAGCTGGTTTTGTTTACTCCCTTTCCAGTTTC